CGATATAAAACTCCCCCAATATAAACCCCCCACCAGCCGGCGGGCAGTAAGTGCTATGTGCTGCGGGAGGAGGTGGCACTGGGGGGGCCACGTCCCCCCGATTTGCTGGGGAGGGGGGTCCCGCCAGCCTGTACGCCAGCTTGTTCCAAAGCCATTTAATGCCTTCTTTCTTCCTTTTTATACATGTATTTTCAAAAAGAGCATCTTTAACAGAAAAGCAGAAAGTTATTTTCGCTTTATTTTTCGGACACCTGAGCTCCCACCAGTGAAAAACCTGATCTGGGAGGTGGACCTGGGCTGGGGGTGCTGCGTGCTACACCCCGGGTCCAAGGAGGGGTGTGGGGGGTGAACCCCCTCCCGGAGCTGGGGTGATGCTGCACCCCAAATGGCTTGGTTTGACGTTTCCTGAGTGATTGAGCTGGGAGCCGTGGGAGCTGATCCATGTCTGGGCAAAGCCTGGTGCTTTTTTGGGGCAGAAAGTGCCTAAAAAGCAAGATTTACAAATCGCCAGTCCTGCCTGGGTCTCTCTGAGCTGTGGGAGTAAAGACACAAGGTCTGAGGAAACACAAGGTCTGAGAAAAGTGCAAATCCACCCTTTTTTTGTTTTGTTTTGTTTTGTTTCCATGCTCTGGGTGCTGCTTCAAGCCCTGTTTTTAAAAAAAAAAAAAAAATTAAAAAGATGAAAATGCAGTGAGACGCTGTGTGGGGCATCCCAAAGCGCCCACTTGCTTCTCAGAGAGCCACCAGCATCTCCGACATCACCAAAAACCTGCCCACATCCCAACAGCACCAGGCCCTTCCCTGGAAGGAGAAACACACTGAGCTCTGCGGGGCGACGCAAGACAGGTAACGTGGAGGCTTTTTTTAATTAAAAAAAAACCCAAAACACAACTATTTTTGAGGAGTGCAACTACCCCGCCACGCAATTAATTGTTACCAGGGCTTGTGGATGCAATAAAACGCTCAAGCTAGGAACCTGCAAAGAGTCTCTGCCACCAACGGGAGAGGAAAAAGGGTTTTCCTGACATTTTGCTCCCAACACGAGGCTCCAGCCGTGATGGGAGCACGAGCGAGCGGTGCTCAGGGAGGAAAAACTCTTCTCTTCCCCAGGATTTGAGCCGGACCTGCCCAGAAACTCCAGGGATGGAACCCCATGGGGTTGCACTCGGCCTGGGGAGTTCTGCTCCTGCCTTCCAGCAGCTAAAATTTACATCCACCAGTTGGATATCGGAGAGATCAGGTTGTGGGATGATAAACTGCTTAGATGTACAAAATTTTAAAAAGAACAAGAAAAAAATACCCCAACACGTCGAGAAGCATCAGTGACACAAAGATATGTAACTCAATCTGCTCTGTCTGGACACCTGATCCCTTCAAAAACCCAAGGGGGTTCGTGGTGATCCAGGAGCCACTTGATTCAGTTTTATAAGGAAAAATGAGTCTTGGCGCAGGGTCCTTAAAAACACCCCAGACAGGGATTGCTCTTGGCTCGACAGCTGTGGGTTATGGCCTATGATTATCCAAAACGCAGGGAAGAAAAAAAAAAAAAGAAATAGGATCCAAATAGCTGCCTGCCCCAGTGAGGGGAGAATCCTGATGGGGCAACATGGCTCCCTGACCCAATACCCAGCGTAATGCCCCGCTGGTGATGAGCCACCACAGCCATGGGAGACCAGCAGCAGGTCGGGTTGGGTAAATATATAGATTTTAAAAGGATAGAGGTCAAAAAAGTGACTGTCACCAGGCTCGATGGGATTCAAAAGCCAATACTGAAGTGTTTTGGTGTACTGGGGCCATAGGGGGATGCTAAGGGACAGCCCTTCCCAGTCCTCCCAGCTGCCTTTATTGGTGGAATCATTAATTAAAAATTAAAAATTGCTCAGCTTAGTTTTGAAAGACACGGCCCACAACATTGATTTTTCACGGAGCTAAGCAGACTTACAAAGCCTGAAACGAGAAGGAACACCAGGTTTTGCCTTAAAAATTCTTGCCGTTTTCCTGATTAAAATGTTTTGGTTTTTTCCCCCCAAATGCCTCCAAAAACACCGCGCTGGAACCGCCTGGAGGCACACGCAGGCTCGAGCTATCGGTGACACGACACGAGCAATGACCAGATCCACACAGGGAGAGAAACCTCATCCTCCTGCCCCGAGAATTGCTCCTGCCCTGCTCACAGCAACGCAACATTTTCCTTTTTAAAGCTATAATTGTTACCGATCCCCTCCCTTAAAGGGTCCAAGGGATTTGCACTTTCTAGGTAGTCAAAGGACAAGGGAAGCTGCCTCAACTCCTCACCCCAGCCACGCCGCGACCCTTCAGGAGATTTTAGGGGTGATCTGGGAAATGCAGGAAGATCTTTGGTCCCCAGATCACCTACAATCTCCTCCAAACCCTGAGGAACCAGCTTCCTTCCCTCCCAGCCCCAGCATTTACTGTACAAAGGGAGATATTCTTCAGGTTTAAAAAATGAAAAGTTGGAAAAAGTTTTGGTTCTGTTTTTAAAAAAAAAAAAAAAAAAAGGGGGGGGGGGGGCAAACCCAGCAGATGTACAATATACAGAAGGAGGAATTTACACGCAGCTCTGGAAGTGTCTTCTGGGGTCACAGGAGGTACCTCCAAGGTCCCTGGTTGCAGCAGTGAGGGACTCCGGTGCTCCCCGGGCAGGAGCAGGGTGGGGGGGACGCGGCACCGCGGTGCTGCGCTCAGTCCAGGAAGCGCTGGCAGGCTTTTTTCCACCGGCAGGCCGTGCACCACTGGTCCCGGTGCTCGATTCCGTACACCTTCCGACACTTTTTGGCTTCACCGCGGACTTTCCTGCGCGAGAGGGGGAAAAAAAACCCAACCCACTGTTCACAGCCTCGTTGCTGAATTTCAGTCACTTATCTAAGGGTAAGGGCCCGTAACCAGGGGGCCCAACACTGCTCTGCTGTGCCTGGGCTCCCCTTGGGCCAGCGGGACCCTCACCTGGTGCCGATGGACACCCTGGGCGGCGAAGCGACGATCAGGTGGGACTTCAGCATCGGCGTCGGTTGTTGGGGTTCGCTGAAGCTGAGCGACCGGCTCCGCACCTGCAGGGGGAAACGGGGGTCAAAGGGGAGGTGGGACAACACGGTCCCCATCCTATGTGGGCCCCGGGTGCAGCGATGGAGCGGCAGGAGACACGGATGCGCTCCCAGATCTGGATGTTTTAAAGTGGGGAGTGAGAAAGCGAAGAGGAGGTCCCCGTATCTCCCAGCCCAACCCTGCACCCCAAAAAGGATGAAGGGGAAACGCACGGACTCACCGGTGACAGGGACGGGAGAGTCGAGGTGGCAGTGGCCCAGCTGATGCTGGTGAAGATGTGGGGGGACACTGGAATTTGGATTGAGGGCAACGCCTGGGTGGGAAAAAAAAAAAAAAGGGTCAATGCTAGCCCCAGGAGCCCCCCGTTCCCACATGCCACCCCACAGGCATTCACCACCCAGCCTGGAGTACCCCCAGACTAGGAGCACTGGAGGGGTGGGATGAAAATCCCTGCACATCCTCTCCTCCAGCACCAGATCCTGCTAACAGGGGGCACAGCAGCTTCTTCGCTCCTCCAGCTGCTTGCAGTTGTGATACCAAACCACGTGCACCACCCTGGTCTAGATGTAGATATTTCTCACCCTATTTATGTAGGTTTTCTGCTTTTAGATGACATTGCATCTGCTCTCTGGGATAGGAATGAGCTATACATGCATTTATGGATCTATATATGCTAGCTGGGAGCTCCAGAACAGTGCTCGGCTCTCCCTGGGACAAGGACTACTGGCTCAGGGTGCCCATGGGGCCACCGCTGTGGGTCCCCAAGTTTCCCAGCCCGTGCCCAGGCGAGCGTGCAGCGGAGAGACGTGCAGGATCCGGCGCGGCTGCATTCCAGCCCTGGGTTATCTGCCGGCAGAAGGGCGTGTTGCATACCAGCACCGGGTAATTGCAGGGGAGCAGAGGTCGGCAGCTCCCCCCAGCCGGGAAGGGCTGCAGCAGAAGCACACCAGCCCCTCAACCCGGCATGCTCAAGGGCTGATGGCCAACCGGGCAGGGGACGGTGCTACACCAGCACCGAAGCCTCTCTGCGCTGCCAGGGTGGTGACAAAACATCTCCTTCGCAGCAGGGACTCACAGAGCAAAGCGGATCACGACCTGTCCTTCAGCAAGACTTCAGGTCACCGTGTTGTCGTCCCCAGGAGATGTCACCAGCTCACCTGGTAGGCATGATCAGCCTGGATGTGCCAGAAGGAGCTGGGCGCAGACTGGCTCAGGGCGCTGCTGGCCAGGGCGGGCTCCAGTGCCGGCTGCTCCACCAGTAGCGCCTCCGGCTTCGCCAGCGCTTGCTGGATGATGATGGGGGCGGAGGCAGACGTGGGGCTGGTGGCAGTGCCTGCCTCCGGTGCCGGCTCTTCCTTCACCTGCACTTCGGTGTAGTAGAAATCCTCCTCCCGCTTCCGCTGGTCGGAGTCCGCGCCGTCCCTGACGGGGGAGCAAAAGGGGGCAGCAGTGAAATGGCAGCCCTGTTTCCATTAAGGTGAGCAGCCCCCGACTCCCCCAGGGCAGAAGGATCTCGCCCTCCTGGGCAAAGCAGCTCTGCTCCCAGGCTCCAAAGCATCACGTTGACTTCATGCTCCCAAGGAAGATCAATGCCCCTTCCAGAGACTTTAAAAACCCTGGCACATTGACTGGGCACCACTGCAAATCCCCTGCACGTTTCTGACCGAGTTCACTCAGCACAGCTGCGACCGAAGCCCTGCGGTTCACCCAGCAGGAAAGAGCCTCTGAAGTTTGTTGGTTTGTTGTTTTTTTTTTATTATTCTTTTCCCAGTGCCTTTATCCAGCACTGGATGGCAGTCCAGCGCTGCCCACTGCATCGCTGCCTTTCTGTCCTCACCTTTCCCAGAGCATTCATGTTTGAAAGGGAGAAATATAAATACCAGAAAAAGTGGATGGGAGCACGAGGAAAGTCAGGTCGGGGTGAGGAATGCAGCGGGGCCACAGGAGAGCATAGCAAAGCTGATCCCCACACCCTCACCACTTTGTATTTTGGGGGTAATTCACAGGAGATCAGGACAAAGCAAAGCAAACTGTCAGAGGGGTGGCTGCTGCCGGCAGCAGGCTCGGCTTTCAGGCTGCCAGCCCTCACAAAACCCAGCTGGGCTCACGTGTAACCTGAACTCCCCACGGTGCAAAACAGAGCCCCGAAGCCCAAATGGGGGTCCCGTGCCTCCCAGAAAGCCCTGGGCACCCTGAAGGTGGGACACACACAACAGTGTCTTTGGTGACACGGACTGCTTGGCTGAGAACTGCCAAGCTCAGTGCACAGAGGCCGGTTATCTCCAAAGCTGGGGGGTTTTGCTGCAGGAATTACGATTTATGCAGTGGCAGGACCACGGATTTGATGGTCAGGCAGGGATTGAGGTGAAACCTCGGCCTTACCCGAGGTGCTGGGTCTTGACGTGTCGCTTGATGCCGACGATGGAGCGCAGGACCTTCCCGCAGCTCGGCCACAGGCACTTGTACATCACTTTCACCGAGTTCTGGTGGAGAGACAGCCCGTGTCACCCTCTCCCCAGTGGTAGCGTCCCCTCCAGGGGACACCAGCTCAGCTCGAGCCACCCCACCGGTGCTGGGAACCCCCTCCCTGACAGCAGCAGTACCTTTCTCTTGCGTGGAGCGGGTTCATCGAGGAGAAAGGGGTCGGAGTCGGTCTCAAAGCCGTCGTCTGCCTGAGGGGAGCTCAGGGCCTCACTGGCGTATTTGGGGCTGCCGGCGGGGTGAGGGGGTGAAGGGGCGGAGATGTCGCTGCCCCCGCTCCAGTGCCCGCTGGTGGTGCTGCTGCCGCTGTCCGAGACGTCGCCGCTCTCCTTCCAGGGATCACAGGCTGCCCGTGAGGCTGCGGGGAGGGGACACACGCTGCCACCGTCAGCTCGGGGCCACCCCCCCACCCCAGGGCAGAGACCAGCCCTGAGGCTGGATAACCCGCAACAACAGTTTCCCTCTATTTATTTCTTTAAAAACTTGGCAAAGCAAACCTTTGCACCTTTTCTCAGCACCAGCTCCCAATTATTGGTCATTTATCCCTTTTTTTTCCCCTTCCCCATTCTCCTTGGCACCAGCACAGCCAGCACACAGCGAGCAGCCAGCCCCGGGGCACACACATTTCCCACGGCTCAGGGTGGCTATTTTTATCCCTCCGGCTGTGTTTGACTCGTCGGGAATGAAACCACCTCTAAAAAAAGGAGCGACTGGGTGGTGCTCCCCAGCCTGGGACTCCTCTACGGGGCTCCCCGGTCCCCCGGGACAACTGTGGAGAGTTGGGTTACCCCCACCATGCTGCCAGGGGTGTCCCAGCTTGCCCGGTCCCAACCAGTGCCGGCACCTGTGGGCTCTGCTGTGACTCTGGTGCCGCTCCCCGTGGCCAGCAAGAGCCCCAGCACTGAGATCCAACAGGCGCTGCACATTTCTCCACGTCTCCTTTTGTTTTAGATGTTTTTTCTTTCATATAGCCATGTACTTTTAAATGCACACTCACAGGGGATGCCGCTCTCGCCGGCGGGAGGGCTCTGCACCACGGGGCTGCAGGAGAGGCTCGTCAGCACCATGGCTGCCACCATCTCATCCATCTCCACAGCGGCGTCGGCTTTTCTGTACCGCAGAGGGGAAAGATGTGAAACACATGGAGGAAAAAAAGCAGAGAAACAGCCTGGGTATGACCTGGGGAGCCACCGGGCACCCAAAGGGCAGCACAACCTGCAGCAGCACAGGTTCACCCCCATCGCCTCCCTCCCAAATTATTTTTAAGTCATGGGGAAGGATGTTTTTTCCTCATTTGGAGGAAAACATTTTTTAAAATCCCTTTCATTGCAACGTTTAACCATCTTATGGATTATGGATAATGCACTGGTAAGGTGGATATATCCCCAGCATCACCACTGTCTCCATTGGTGTTAGGTCACTGTGAGGTTAATGGTTGGACTAGATGAACTTCAAGGTCTTTTCCAACCTTGACGATTCTGTGATTCTGTGTAAAACCAAGTGCGAGCGCTGGCAGAGCTGCCAAGAGCCCCCCTCCCACCCGAGTGAGCCAAAGGCACGAACCTCTTGGGTACGTCGATATTGCTGGATACGGATCTCTGCAGGGCCTCGGCAGGGCCGGGACCACCAGCTGTGGGCAGGACGGGGGGCTGGAGCGCGGCCGGCCGCACGTCCTGCACCCTCCAACACGCCTGCAAGCCCTGCTCCGGCAGCAGCACCTTCACCTTGTCGCTCAGCGGGTTGTGCTGCTCCACGAGGCCGGCGCACTCCTGCCCGTTGTAGGTGACGAGGACCTGAAAACGGCACAAGGGGAGGTTTGTTGGCATCACCTGCCACCCCGCTTGCTCTCAGGGGCTGTCCTGACACAGGACAGCAAGCCCTCACCCACCGCAGGATCCCCCCCTCCTCCTCGTCCTCCCGCTGCGGAGGGGGTTACAGAGGGCTTGAGGACGAAGTCAGAGCCTGTCCTGAAGGGCCTGGACTTCAGACTGCTGTCACAGCAAACCAAAGGGCTGGCCAGGGCTCATACCAACCCCCCCTCTAAGAGATCTGCTCTTCCCAGGCACAAGCACCCCAGCTCCAGCAATCCCATGTTAAGGAATTTCCAGAGCTGGTATCAGCCACCTGAGTGTCGTGACTTTGGGTGGACTTTTCTCCAATGAATTTGTCTGCTTTGGCTTTGTTCTTGTGCCATCCTGCTGCAAGGGCTCCCACAACTATTCCACACCCTGGCAAAGTACATACATAAAAGGATTAAAAACCAGGGGGAGACTGGGAACGGAGCTTTCCTGGGTTACGTGATCCTGAATTCACACTTTTGCTCCTCCAGCCCCAGCTCCTTGCAGCAGGGGAAGGAGATGTGCAAACCTCACCTCCTCATCCACAGCCCCAAACTCCTTCTGATGGGCAGTTTTCCACCACTACCAACCGTGAGCCTATTTCTGTTGATGGAAATGTATCTGTGTCAAAAGACACTACATGTGTTTCTGGCTATTTATAGGAACAGGAACATCTCTTTACGGAAGGGCCATGGGTGTCATACCAAGAAGTCAACATGGGATGGACACACAGTCCCACACCCTGACCCGGGAAGAGCCTGGGAGACTACCTCAGGTGGGATCTCCAGCAGAAAAAATGGGGTAGAGAAGGCCACCCACGGTGGAACCAGGGTTAAGGGGGATCAGTACAAGGATCAGGACACTGGAGACCCTGACCCTGCTTGCTAAAAACAAGGAGCAAGGCTTCCAAGTGAACCACACGGGCCATTCCCTGACCCAGGAGCCAACATCTCCTTTGGCTTTGCACAGCCACCAGCACAGGTCCTGGCTGTCGCTGGGAGGTGGAGGCACCCCACAGCTATTTTTATGCTGTTCCCGGCAGCAAAGCAAGCAAGAAAACCCTCCACAGCGGAGCACGTAGGAGAAAACAACTCTCACTGTCCTGTGGTTAATAAAAATGGGTCAGGAGGAGCCAGAAAACCAAACAGGGGCCTTATTTACACTCCATTTCACAAGCTCTGCCCAGAAGAGGTTTTACAGTTCTGCAGGTAGCAGCCAAGAAAGGGGCTCTCTGGCAGCAGCTCACGGCTCTGCTCGGACAGCGCTGCTTGGCCAGGCCTTCACAGGGACCGTGCCAGTGGGATGGAGAGCTGCCCCCTGGCCACACTGCAGGAGCCCTGGGGCATAAAAAATGGCGGGGTCCAGCAGGACTACGTGTCCTTTCTGGACGAGCTGTCGCAATTCACTCGTCCCCAAGAGCTTCTTCACCATGTGCGTCCACACCATCGCACCTCAACCCTGCAGCAAACAGCTCCTGCAGGCTGAGGCCTGAGCCATGAGGCTCGTGGTGTGGCGAAGCTGGGGGGGCTCCCTGCCACTTACCCTTCAGATGTAAACGTGGGTTATGGGGTTTGTGGAAAAGAAGTCCACTGGGAGTCACTAAATGTACAGAAACCATCTCCCTTTGCCTCAAACAGCTGGAGAACACTGGAGGGAAGTGTCAGGTCTCCTTACTGTCTTCTTTGGGCACCCACTTCTGGCCAGGACTGGAGATGTCTCCTGGAGGAGACAGATCTCCACGTGAGCCAGGATGGTCCAAACTCATGAGGTACGGCCGAGGCCAAGTGCACTAACGCCAACACCCATTAACGGCTCTTGGTAATTACAGCTCCCCACTGCACCTCACAGGAGACCCCAGGAGTTATCCCCCACTAGGGCACACCCCACCAGCCGAGGATGTTTCCTTACGTACCTGTTGCCCGGCGTGGAGCTGCCGGCGGCTGGGGCATCTGGCTGCTTGGCTGCTCTCCTCTGCCGACGGCGCGCAAGATCCATCCTCTCGTGGCACCGTGTGGGCAGAGGCCCGGCCGAGGTCGGTCTGCAGGCTGGGGATTTGGGGGGGCACCAGCACCCCGTCAGCCAAGGCGCTGGGGGCAGAGACGCGGGTGCCTAGCAGGGAGCGCTTCCCCAGACGCCTGGACAGCACGCTCGCCATCTCGGACACACTGCGGAAGAGAAAGACACGGGGATGTTACCTCCAGTGCAGGACCACGGCATTCAGCTGGTGTCTTCCCCTCCCACCGCCACCCTGCGAGGCAAGAAATCAGCTCCGCTGCGCCAGCAACCCCAGGGGGACCCCTGGGGACAGTGGCGTGCCTGAGCTCCCCTCACCCTGCAACTCTTTATGATCATTCCTAACCTCCTCTGGAATAAAAATAAAAGAGCCAGCCCAAAGGCAACCCCGCGGACACAGTCAGGATGGCCCTTGGAACCCACGTGCCCCTCTCGAGCTGCCACCAGTCCTGAGGCCACTATGGCTATTCCTGCCCGTCAAGCTGAAACCCGCCATCGGAGCTCTTTAACCTTGACCTCTAGACTTGGGCCTGTGCCCAGCACAGACCCGTAACTCCCTGCCCATGCCCCGGCAGGACAGGAAAGCTCTCTGGCAGCAAACACCAGTGCCCCTTCTCAGCCAGCACACTGATGCTCCCCTTTTTGGGAGCTCTCATGTTTTTGAGAGAGGTTCCTCCAAGCTCACAGCTCAAGAAAAAGATGGGTTTGGAACATTTTTATCCTAAACTGTCTGCAACTATCTTTAACCTATTTTTCCCCCCCAATAGCTCTCCTTTCCTCTGACATGGAGTTTTTCTTGTCTTGGTGCAGCTCTGCTAGCAAGCCTGTCCAGGGAGCAGCTTGCCTGGCTCATTTCTCTGGGTTTGTAGATTTTACTGCTGCTTTAAAAGAAATAAGTGGTTACAGGTTTCCTTAAAAGCAAAGGACACTCAGGCACGGGGACAGACAATGCATCCAGCCCTGATGAATCCAATGGCTCCAGCAGCATACACTGTCCTCCTCCCCCCTGCCCTCCCAACATCTCCTCCGCTACAACACCCTCTCTCCGAGGAGCACGGGAAGCGAGGATGGACACCGCGATGAAGCCGAAGGGTGACAGCGCCTGGGGCGTGGTAGGAGGGAGAGGAGGCAAGAGGCTCGGTGCTGCCTCGTGTCTTGAGGTGCACCAAAACAGTCACGTCCTTTCGCACCGCCAAGAAACCTGTCACCTCCGCCACCCTGCCTGGGCTTGTCAGCGAGTGTCACCCAGTTGGCCAGAGGGCTGCGGGTGTTTATTGGGTGTCTGGGCTGGAGCGTAACGTGGGACATGGAAAGTCCAAGTCTGAGTAGCTGCTGCTTGTGCAAGAGGGAGGATTAACCCGAGCCGCCGGGCGCTCACGCCCAGACCCTGCCCACCTTGCACACGGTTGCTGTCACAAAGCGACAGAGTTTTCAGAGCAGATGTCATGTTATTTTGGTTTGGTTTTTTGTTTTTTTCGGGTTTTTTTTTTACATCTGGTTTACACCGTGCCATCTCGTATGCTATCTCAGATGAGAAAAGTTTCCCGAGGAAGGGAAGGGGAGCTCGCTGCTCCCCTCACCTCCCAGCTGCTCCAGGGTTACTCCAAACCACGCTTCAAAGGACGCCTAAGATTTACAAGTGGTTTTATGAATAACCGTACGCACTCAACTCGCTTTGTCCTCCCCTGAAATCCCGCCGTCCCTGAGTAGAAAATTAACAGCTATTTAGGAGCCATAAATAGAGCAGAAAGAGTGGGAGAGGGTATGAAATGGATAGAGGCGTGCCAGGGGAAAGCACCTCACGCCAGGGCTGCACGGGGACTTCGCCACCTTCCCTCCAGAGCAGGATCAAAGCAGCCGCAGCGACCAGCTGAGCAGAGCCGCTCCCCCTCTCATCACACCCAGCCCAAGGAACATGTCAGACTTCGCAGCACACGGGGATCACTGGGGGGATGCTCTGTCCAATAATGTCTTTTTTTTGAACGGTGCAACACGTTTTCTGATGAGCACAAGTGACACGACCAAGCAGCTCCGCTCCCAGATCTCCTACGTACCCATATGGGACTTTTTCACCCCAAAGATCAAAACGGCAGCAAATCCCAGAGCGAAGCTGCAGCAAAGCCCCTCCATGGGCATCACCCACCAAACCACATTTCCTCCTGCATCACTTTAAAGACCTCGCTCTCCGATATCCCAGGCACTGGGAATTTGGGAACAGCCCCTCCAAGGGCTCAGGGAGTTGATGTGGCACCATCGGGTGCTGCCGCCGCACAGAAAACGGCGCAGAAATCTCCGCCGCCTCCCCGACGGCCGCTGCACGCCAGTTTGGAGGCAGCACTTGGCCAGTGGCCAGGTGCGGGGAGGGCAGCGCCGAAGGTGGGAGGCTGCTTCTCATTTCCTTCGGGGTTGCGTTTCGCCTTCCTTTTCCTTCCCAATCCGGGCCCGGGTGGGGGGAGTGGGAAGGAAAACCCTCCCCAAAAAAACAGGTTTTGGAGCCACATCTGATTCCAGCAGATCTTTGAATGCCGGATACCATTCCAGCGCTCGAGCCTGTAGCCGAGGGTGACACAGAGACGCTGAAAAACCCTTCCCCGTGCCCCAAAACACAAAGCAAGAAGAGGAGCGAGAGCTGGGAGGGTGTCAGCGGTGCAGGCGGAGCCGGGAGGCCACACTGCCGCCGCCGCCGCGAGCCCTTCCAGCTGTTAGCAATCACGCGCCGCAGGGGTCAGAGCCGGCACAGATCCCAAATTATTTCTTGCTTCAATGCCGGGTGTGTATTTTGGACGGCGCTTTTCCAGCTCTCGCCGGGAAAAAAAAAAACGTCAGCTCTTGTGCCTACCGGCATTGCCGCTGCTGCCGGCAGAGCAAAGCCCGGGTGGAGGTTTTGGGAAAGCAGGCGCCTCGTTTGGCAAATGAGGCACGCTTCATCTAGCAAGCAGGGAAGGTTGAGGGGCAGGGGCAAAGCGGGGAGGGTCCCCCACGCTCACCCTGGCTTCTGTTTGTCCAGGGTTTCCCAGGAGAAAAGCAGCTCCTGCGCCCATGGTGCTGCACAAACCACAACCACAGGCGCAAATCTCCTCCCCAGAGAATGTGAGATTACAGCACACCCCATTTTCCCTTTTTTTTTAAGGAATAAACACTGGTAGGTTCCCCCAAACCCAGCCTAACTCCTACTACCGACCACCATGCTACGGATCAACAACATACACCGCAAAGTCTACCCTGTAAGAGACCTCAAACGTCGCAATAACTGATAATAAACCACAGGTTTTCCATCTTCTCTCCTAGCCCACGCTTTCCAAAAAGCCCTTTCTGATCCCAAAACGTCCCAAAGCCCTTTACAAACCGCACTCCGGCCCCGCGCCCACTGGCACACGTGACTGGGGAACAAGATATCCGCACGGAGTGGTTTGCAAAGTTTGGGCCTTTATTAAAAGAAAAAAAAAAAACACAAGGATCTACTGACCCCAGGCTGGAGCCAAAGCTACCCGCGACCTAACCCTCACAGACAATAATACAAAACAGGCGCCTTCGCGATGAGCTTCCTCTGAACGCTGCCTGGGTGCTCAGAGCCTGGGTCACGCCCGCGGACGTGTCACGGCGGGGCTGCACCGATTCCCCGCCGGCAGCGCCCGGGAAGGGCTCCCCAAGCCTCACCCACACCGGAGTCGGCTGCTGCCGATCGATTCTGGAGGAAAACATTTCCACAGGCCGCCCGCCTGCTTAAAAAAAAGCCATTTTCTGGTGCAGGCAGGAATGCCGGTGCAGGCAGAGCGACTTCCCCAGGCGTCGCGGGCCGGTGCGTGCCGGCGGCGAGGGCAGGCAGGAAGGAAAGGGCGGGAGTGCGCCGCTGTCGGGAGCGGTGCCGGCGGAGCGGGACTCGAAGCCGTCGTGCGAGAGAGC